TTAGACAGACCACATTTTTAAAATTTTATAAAAAATATTTCTAAAATTAGGTTCCTGTAAAGGCCTATAGGCAACTCTCCGCTTTGTAAAAAGCAACACTGCAGAGGTATAGATTCAATCAAAGTTTTTAACTGCTCATTTTCAATAGAAATCCGACACACGGAGTATTAAATAAAAAAAGTTATAAAAAGTTTATTAATGAACAATTGGAAGATTTTTAGATTTACTTCATATCCATTAATACTAAATAATGATCATGTTTACATAAATATAAATAGGGAAGATCCCTTTCATTACAAATATTTTCATACATAGTACATAAAAAAGAGATTTTTATTTTTAGGTCTAAAAATAAACAACTTGAATTTTGTAACTAAGTACTTTAGAGAATTTTCATAAAAATCGTTCATTAATAAAAAGATAAAAAAGAGATTTGTAATCGACACGATTGTATTTTTAAAGTTTAAAGTGTTTTTAATTTCATGGTCTCATTGTAAACCTAAAAACATGTTACAGCAAGTATGATTCAATTTTTGACGACAATTGAAAAACTAGAATTTCGAGTTAATTTTTCTTAGAAAACTTCATTTAAAGCCAATAAAATGTACATTTTGATTTACGGTTGATTTCAAACGGTTCTTCATTTAAAGACATGACATGTTCGATACCGAACAGTACCCTTGTTTGTCTGTCTGACCTTAAGGATGAAGGAAATATTTTATTATTTTTAATTATGATTTTAATAAAAGAAGGAAAATGTGTTAATTTATAAGATCGATCCAAACTACGATATATTCCTTGTATAGCTACTCAGATTAAAGTTTCAAGGGTTCAGTTAAGATTCCGACATAACTTTGTAAATGAAGGCAGTGACGGGTCTATAGACACAATCTCTTCAGTTTGAGGGGTTCCAGGGGCTCAGGGGTGACCCTGGCTGATTTTGAACTCCTTGAAAGGGGCTCGGAGGGTAGGGGAGCCCGGCAGGGGCTGCAGGATATCCTGCAGGATATACCAGGGGCTCTTCATATCCAGATCCTGGGGTTGTATGATATCCAGACGTAGTCGGTGGATATATATCTGGTCCTAAAGATGGATACAAAGAGTTTTCAGGACCATTTGCAGTTGGATATCCAGGTCCCTGTACAGGTGGATATCCTGGTGTTTGTGCAGGTGGATATCCAGGTCCTTTTGAAGGTGAATATCTGGGTCCCTGAGCAGGTGGATATCCGGGTCCCTGGGCAGGTGGATATCCGGGTCCCTGGGCAGGTGGATATCCAGGTCCCTGGGCAGGTGGATATCCGGGTACGTGGGCAGGGGGATATCCTTGTGTTTGTGAAGGTGGATATCCAGGTCCCTGTGATGGATTTTGTGGAAGATATCCATAGTTTGAAGATTTAAAATCAGCGGTATCCTTCCCTGTCAATCGGCAATAATAAATTAAATATATTTTTTCATTCAAAAAAAATAATGTAGTTAAAATTAAATTAAAATTGAAATTACAACAAAAAACTTGACAACATTTTAGAGTTTGTTGGTTACATAAAAACAATCAACCAAGGCAAATAAAAAAATCGTCGTAGCCAGGGGGGGGTGCAAGGGGTCAGCAAGGGGGCACCGAGGTAAGGTTTTCTGATCGCACTGGTTTGTTGTTCCTTTGCATATGTCGATATACATACATACGTACAATGTAACAAATATGCTCCAGTAAGTATAAAAAAATCAATTTTTTAAGTTTTGGAAAAACATTGCATCAGTTTCAAAGTTTCAATATTTTGTCCAGACAAATCAAAATCAGTAAACGTGAGTATATAGTAATATTAAAATTATCAATATTTTCTTTTGACCAATAGCTAAAAACTAAATTATGAAAAAATTTCTGTGTTCCATACAAAACATCAAATTCAGGGAAAAATGAAATTTCACTGGAACATTATGTTTAAGCTAAATTTTATACTGTTGTTGACAAATTAGAAAATAATTTATGCAACATTAAAAGTTGAGCTGTACTTACTAGTTTTCATACTAAAAGTACGAACATTTTCTGCTCCCATGCAAACCCCCGCCTCGGTGATCCTGGGCCCATACTACAACACCCCTTTTTGCATCCCCCCCCCCTGGGATAATCCTGGCTACGGGCCTGATTAAAATCATACAGAGGAACCCACAAAGATGAGACTTAAATAAAGACTTTCAATCAACTAATTCAAAAAAATGATCTGAAAGTTCAAATCTTATGTAACTGTCTCCAACAAAATGAATTAATAATATATTAAATAATTGGGCATAGCAAAATTTGAAGGAAAGCACAACTGTCAGCATGAAGACTGAACAAATTCTGTACAGTAGTAATTCAAGTCTAATCCTTTGTGGGTAAGCCTGAATACTTAATTTTCAATTCAAATTGACGATCAATGCTAAATTTTTATATTTAATATCACGATTCCTGGAATGTCCGATGAGACCATCTCCTGAAAGAAAAATAAAATATTTAAAAACAATTTAAATGAAATAACCTTTCGTTCATTTTAATTTAAAGGCGACTTAACTATCAAGGATTAAAAAAAATACGGCTACGGCTCAGTAATAGCTTAACAGCCTGAAACAACGTATGTACGGTACCTGGAAAGATGGCGGATCTATTGTACAATTTCTCACGAGAATCTCCCCACGTGGTTTATTCTTCTTTAGCAATTGTATAGATGTATGATTGCAGTACGCAGCCTGTACATAAATTATTTTATATTAAACATTAATCTCTATAATAAAGAGAATGTATCATCCCTGTCCCTTTTTGACTTAATTAGTCTGTATGAATACAGGACAACTTGGTCTAGTTGCCTACTGGTCGGCACTGTACTTCAAATCAATTGTAGTAGTTACAGTAATTTATAGAACAAGGACATTAGGCTGCAGTATTATAATGCATTAATTTAAATGTAAGAAGACGACCCAAAACTCTAAAAAAATAGGACTGGTCTGAAGCTTTATAATTTGTTTCTGTATCAAATTGAGTATTTTAAAAGTTTTACTTAAAAATTAAGCACAGAAATAAGCCAATTTACGCCTATAAGGAACCCTGAATACAAGAAAATGGATTATGCAAATTCCGTACAGTCGTCTCTGGAGTCTCATCCTTTGTGGGTAACACTGTAGGTTGTTATCTTTGATTGTCTGTCTCTTTGTTTGGATGTCTGATCATAACTCATGAACCCCTGGACCGATTTGTCTCAAACTTGGATAGAGAATAATCTTTAAAAATTCTAAACTCCGACAGAGCTAAGTTCCCAACCTATAAGCATAGAGAATAGAATATATATATAGAGAGGAATTAACTAGAAAAAAGTGTAAAACGGCCATTTTGTTGTACTGTTTCCATACTGCAGGTGTACTTCACATATTTGTGCTATATAACCTTTTGGGCCCTGAAACATCATTTTATACAAAAATTTTCTTGAAAATTATTTGATCTTCTGTAAGTCAATTCTCTGATAGCCTGTCATGCACACGTGGATAAAAATCAATCTAAAATTTTTTTTCATTAAAAACATATTCCTATAAGTGTAGCCTGCAGGTAATCAAAGAGGGAAAGCCAATATTTTAGAAATATTCAAGATATCAAAATATGGTTCAACTTTTTTTCCACCAAAATTGAGGATGGAGATAAACTTAATATTTTAAATTCATTTTACACAGTTGGACCCATAAAACTCCGGAAGAGAAGGTCAAAATTTAAATATGTTTCATGTTTGATGGGTTAGTTAAACTTGTAGCTTGAGTCTAAACACAGTTAAACAATCTGTTTTACTTTGTGTACCCATAAAGATCAACACCTATTTAATTTACAAGATTCTGGTGCTCCCTAAAATGTGTAACTGTAGAGTTTGGAGGAAATTTTAGAGACAACTGACAGTACAGAATTAGTTTAGTCTTTCTCTTTACATTAATCTCCGTATGCTCGTTATTCCAAATCACCGAATGAATCATTATAGCAGGTAACATATTTAGGCCTAAATCAGATTATCAAAATTTTTGCAAATGTTATGAGTTCTTCATTAAAGTATCATCCTTTTGTGGGTAACCCTGTATAATGTAGAATAATTGCATAATAAAAAACATGTAGAAAACAAAACTTTATTAACTTTAATTTAACATTTTATTGAACACTTCACTTGTCCAAAGGTCCTTGAATCCGTCTGGTACACTGAAATATTAGAATTTAAAATAAAAATCAAATAAATTCTGTGGAGTATGTAATCGTTAAGCTCTTGTGCCTTGGTTAAAAATGATTAAACTTTAAAAAGAAAAAAAAGGTGCACGAAAAGGACTTCGTAAATTAGCCCTATCCAAATGGAAGAAGGTAGTAATAAACCTTAAATGATCTATTAACAGGCAAGTATCACACTCATACTATCAAAATTTAAACCACAGAGGGGAATGTGTATTGTAATCCTCCCCCCCCTTAGTTTATCAAAGAAAGTCAGAGTAAATGACACGTTTTTATTAATTAAAGACAACTAAGAAAACTTTAATGTTATTTTAAATATTACAGTTGTATTAAGCTTTTAAACCTGGAAACTTGTAATTCGAAAAAACCTTGTAAACAATCAAATCTTTCATAAAAAGCCGTCTTCATTGTATAATTGTATAATTGTATTGAAAAAATCGCCTACCACTGTTTATTAATAGTGTGTTTTAAGCATTTTTATTAAAATTTTGTATTGATGAAAAAAGCATAATAATATTAGAAAAACACATTTGCGTGTAGATAAGAATCCGTGTACACAGAGCTTAAGCCAAGGTTGTGCAAACAATGGATTAAAAAAAGAAGAAAAATGTTGCCCCTCCTTCCTCGTCATCTTAGTTTGTATAAAAGTTTATATGTCCCCTTTTTAGCCCACCGTAGTCCCCGTTAGAGGGCTATATATGTATTTTATAATTGCATTAATGCTTACCTATGAAATGTAAGGTTTTTGAAACTGTTGTTTGATTTACAACCAATAACCGAACAATATCGTACCATTTTTCTGACAATTTTTTTTCACAAAAGTGGAATGTTTAAAAATTACAAATTTTCAAATGGGAAAATTATTTTGCAATCAGAATCTTCGATTCAAAAATTTTCCTTAACTAAATGTTTTGAAAATAAAATCTAAAATTAACATTAAAAAAAAAAAAATTATGAAATAGGCTGATTTCATAATTGACCAATGATCATTTCACATAGACTTTCACTTTACTAACGATGATTTTCCGTTATAACTATAAATCAAATGATGTTTTTTATTCACCTAATTCAAATTATAAAGTTTATTTAACAGCTTTAAAAAATCGAAATTGAAATGGATAGTCTAGGGAACATACTGTATTAATGTACTCTACTGCATATAATTTGTGAACATTTACATGATTTGTACACTTTGAACTCCCTTTCAAATGAAAGGGACTGAAAAAATTCATACCGGGAGATTCTTTTAATTCCTCTCTATATATTCTATTGAAGTCTTGAATTCTTGTAAAGTCTTATAGTCTTATAGTCGTATAGTTTTGTTCTGTTTTGTGTTTAACTTAAATATAGATTAACGTAAATTAAGATTTCAGAAGTGAATTTTAGCCATTTTACTGCACAAGAAATTATTTCAGACAGCACAATAATGCCTGCATGCATAATCTGTAAAACCAAATAGATTCTAGTACAACAGAAGGCAAAATTGAATTTGTACACTTTAATGTAAATTTAAATGTAATCTTTATTTTCTCTTCTTACACTTTTTTATTTTATCTTGAAAAACACGTCAACTAATGTGAGAAAATTTCGTTTTTCTTGTTATTTGACACTTATGACGTTGTGTATAATTGGTTCATTTCTCTGTTGCCACCTATTGTACTTGATAATCTATTTGGTAAAAAACAAGGAATGCACAATTTGTGAAACCAAAAAATGAAGATCTTCCAAATATATCTCTAGGTCTTCACTTTTGTATTTTGGGGCAGATTTAAGAGTGGTTAAGAACTAGACATAGTTTAAAAGATATTAAGAGAGGCATATTCAGGCTTTTTTCTCCGGAAGGACTTACATTTCTTTTTCTTTTTAAGGGGGGGGGGGAAAGGCCAACTCCCCCCCCCCAAAAAAAAGCATATATTTCACTGATCCAGAAGGGGGATGAGCCCCCTTAGCCCCACCCCTGAACACGCCTCTGGATAAGAACATAGATGTGTTGAAGATATTTACAAACATATTTCAGAATGGCGTGAGATTTGAATGAACAAAACTTAGCAGTTTAAAAGATAAATTCCTATAGAATTAGAAGTGTCAGGCAAAATCAATGAATTGATTAAGCGACTATATAGTATTTACATAAAAATTACATAGCAACATACAAAATTATTTGATTTTTCACTAAGAAAATTTCGAAGTTCTAACTGAAGACGGCATTTACATGGGTCTTTAGTCTATTTTTTCTAGTCTGTACTTCCCAAAGAAATATTTTCATACAATTATTTCCAAACCAAAAAAAACCTTATAATGGCCTAACCTGTCGTCGTTGCTTTCGTCTGTTCCACTTTAGTATTTATTCACTTTGAGAAATTGTAGCCTTTTAAATTGTATTCTTGTTTCATGCTAATTTTACTTCTGTAATTTGATAAAACATCATTTTATATTGTGGATTAATATTTTGAATCCTAAAATTCACTGTCTTTTCTGATCTGTTCACCCAAAAAGGTCTCAGTAATATGTGAAATATTGTTTTAACCTCTTCTACACTAAAATACTGGTTGGAACCAAGATTGTGTTAGGCTAGATAATCTGGATGGATGGTCTCTAATGTACTAGAAGGGGAAAGGATTTTCTCGGTTTGTTAGGTTTAAAAAGAGAAAAAACTCTAACTCCCCCCCCCCTTTCACCAGCAAAGTTTTCACTTCATCTTCTGCTAATAGTCTGTTATAACATATGAGGATTTTAAGTGTACATTACCATGAAGACGACGTTTGAGGATTTTGATTTTCCATTACTATGAAGACGACATTTATAATACTGGAACGCATCCAGAGTAGCTAACCTTACATTTGCATTAACCTGTGAACTGTGTTGCCTCTGACACTAATGACGTCATGCACATATTCTATAGAATATCATTGCAACTTATTGTACCTTTTTTAACTTTAATTTAATTTATTTTAATTAAATTTTACAATATTTTTAAATTTTAATATGATATCAGATGGAAACATATTGAGACTTTTATATTTCTTGTTTTTCATCCTTTCTTCTTGATCTTCCATTCATTGTCCATCCTTCAATCACACTATGGCTAATTTTGAAAATAAAAATAAATGAATTTTTTGGATGTTTTCTGGAGCTAGCCAAATTGCAGAGGTAGAACTATTTTTTGAAGCCCTGTATCTATATTCTATACATTGAGAGTGGCAAGGTTACTCTCCCCCTTGTTTATATTTAAATTTTGCTTCAGTCATGATACTGTGTCAAGTCAGCTCCTGCATTCCTAGCTTTTCTTGATGGAGGGGGAAAGGTGTGAAGGGGGCACTTTACACATTTTCCAGTTTTTTTATCTCAAGTAGGACAAAAAGGGGGGGGGGGATGGGACGTCTGCCATCCTGTGTATTTGTCTTTATTCGTTATCGGTGAAAAAAAATAGATAATGTAAAGCTCAAATCCCCTTCTAATTTTTCCTGTTCAAAGTTTTCTTCTTCTTTCTTGTTTTTCTTGCTTTAAGCACCCATCTCTACTGTCAAGAGATTTCCCTTCCACTTTTTTTCTGCTCAATTTATTTTTTCTTCTTGCTTCTTGTTTCTTGTTTTTACACTTTAAGGTCTTTCCAAATAGTTCTTTTAACATCGAGTTGTGGAGCAGGTAGGAGAGAGATAAGGAGGTTTGAAGGAAGAAGGGTATAGGGGATTTCTCCCTGTGTTCCTTCATTTTATACTGTTTCCCAATTAGGGGAATTAAGGAATTTACCCATAACTGCACCCCATATGCAAAATGGGGAGTTGTGATCCCTGAAAGCTCTATTGAGAGGTATCTTCCATGGCAGTTCAGTCCTTACATCTGGTTGAGTAAAAAACCGGTATCGTTGTGCATGGCTTGTATTCCTATAAGGGGTTAAACTCCTCTTTCAGTGAACCAAGCTGAAGATGAAGTTTTGTTTTAATCTATGTACAATTCTTGCTTCCCCTGTAAAATACTAGATGCGTAACTAAACACAGCGCTTCCCCAGCTGCAATTCTGGGACTGCATAGTAGGTCCGTTCTGCTAGAGAGAAAGCAGGCAACTGCAACTTATTGTACCTATTTGATTGACGTCATGCACATATTCTATAGAATATTATAACAACTTATTCTACCTTTGATTACAGAAAAATAAAACTCAAGTGATAAAAATAAGATGTTGTTTTAAGGTTTATTTCTAAATATTGTTTATAAGAATATAAATCTAACAAACAATAAAAACAAAAATTTACAATTTAATTTTCTTCATCTTGTACATGAAGCAAAATAATATTATACTAGTATAAAATTTTTATTTAGAGGCATAAAATTTGTTCATGGAGGTGTAAGAACAAGTTGTTAATATTTATAAAAAATGCAAAAAGTTTCAATTTCAATTTAACTTAATTTTGTCAATAACACATTTCAAACTAAATCTTAAAACAAGAGCTTGATACCTCTAAAGTGTACATGTCTAGAGCTACAAATATTTATATAATTGGTAAACCCAAGGCTAAGACGCTGTGACACTTTAAAAGTCGATTCAGTCTTGATACGGATGTAACTTTTTATGGCAGTCTAGACTTAGGTGGAAGGTTGACTGAAGCCATGGTTCTCATATATTAGATTCTTCTAGGGTTTCCAGCGAAAGAAAAATTTTGCAAAAAATGCAAAATTTTGCAAAAATGTTCTTTAGTGTTTCGCAAACTTTTTGCAAAATTTCTCGTTTTCTCATGAAAATTAATTTTGTGAAAGGAAACGAAAACACTGAGGATTTTTGTAAACCTTTTTTTCTGCACATTTTGTTTCGCGAAAAAAATGTGAAATTTTCCAAAAAAAAAAATTAGCAAAACTTGTGCATTTTTATTTTTCCGTGAACAAAGTTTTGCATTTTATCTGCTAAGGGAATGCGAAAAAATTAGAAATATTCGGCAAACATTCGAAATTTTCGCGAAACTCTAGTTTCTACCCCATGAAGATTCCTCCATCGTCCTCAATATCAATAACCCTGCAGTCCTGGTTAGACGACCTATTCTGCAGTTCTCTTGAGTTCAACTCCTGCAGGGGGTAAACGGCCGGAGGTAGAGGAGCAACAAGATTAGAATTTATGAAATTACTCCCAGGAAACAGGTTTAGCATAAAAGGGAAAGTAAACTCATTCTCTTTAATTATGTACAACAATAATAAACCAATTTGAACTAAAATTATAATATAAATAATTTCTATGTCATAATCTGAATTTGGCCATAAAAGGACAACTCCCAAAATTCCAAGGGAACCCAAAACAGAAATAATCCCAATGGTCACGGATTTCAATCTAAAGTCTTGGAAATTATCTTGCTCCTCGTTTCGAAACACAATTCTGAGGACAATGTTTGAGAGTATGAAGATAGTGAGGTATAAGCTGGCAATGATTGTGTTGGCTAGCGCCACATAATCCTGGTCCTCTGTAGGTGAGCATCTGGATTGAAAGGATTCTAGTATATGAACAGTTCCTATAAAGTTTTGTAAGTAATAAGTAATAAAAAATTGGGTCTGCAGAATATCTTCAATTAAATTCAGTTTAAGATTCTTAACAAGATTGATAGCTGAAAAAGTTTGTTAAGAGGCAAATTCTGAGAAAAAAATCTGAAAGTCAAGAGTTAAAAGTAGAAAAAAACTCCTTTGAATGGAAACATTTTTTTTTCTTTTTGTAAAAAGGGAAAACCTTTTTGGATAATAATTAAGTTGGTTACATCAAAGAAACTATTAAAAACAATTTTAATACCACGTTTGATGTCTACCCACAAGAACCCTGGATAC